TAACCAGTATTCCCGAGCGACTGCAAAACCACAATCTCATGTCAGTATCGTTGATCGTGACGCCATATGCAAAGCGCCGTCGAGGGTCGGTCCGTATGCAGAGATCCATGTCCCAGATCATCCTGTACACGTCCTGTGAAGCGAAAGCATTGAGCACCAGTCGTCTTCGGGAGGCATAGAGATCATACATACGAGGTCTCGGCAGTTGTTGGACTTGTGCTTGCTATACTCGATGCACGCGCCAATGTCCTTCCAAGACGCTGTTCCACCGGACTTCCCGCGCAGCACAAAGTACGCGTCCGGTCGGGTTTTTGATCGCCTACGACTGTCTTCACACGCCCAATCTGAATTTTGGACAAAATCGAACTGTGGGAGGTCCTCAACCTCAGCTGCTCTGGCTGCAGCCTGCGCGATGTAGACAAGCGGTTGGAAAGTATCGTTCTCCGCTTTGCCAGACTTGCTCGGTTCACCTTTGAATCTTCTCCACCGGCCTCTGACAATCTCGGGATGACGTCCGCGTTTGAGCTTCTTGATGACATCCTCGATAATGATGCTTGAATGTAATGGGGGAAGAAGGCCTTTCATAAATAACTTGACCGGGAGCTCCATTACATGTTTCCCGAACACCTCAATGATGTTTTCACGGACGTTGCGCATGCCGTAGATTTCGATCGGATTTGAGACATAGTTAGCCATGATTCCACTTGTCGCGAGCACAATAGTACAGAAACTGTGGTAATGGTGAATGAGTGGGGCACAGAATGCTCAATGCGAAGAGAGGCAAGCTTTAGATGTGGATGTTGTGGCTAACGCAGTGGTTCGGAGCCTCGAGGTGATAGCAAGGCATCTGAATCTCGCACGTGATCGCGTCTCGGACGCGCTTGTGGCAGTGGCTTTTTGGAACGCCCGCTAATAGGTGCGTTCAAAATTGCCGCTAAAATCTCGCTGGAAAACAAGCGAAATTTAAGCGGCCAGAAGCAGCGAGCAGAATCTGAGCTCCCCTCCTCGAACAGCGACAAATAAGCGACTGCTCGTCGCAAGCGCTCGCAGATTCTGGCTTACGGCCATGTCACGCTTGCATGATTCGCCAACCTGATTGGCTGGGTAGCCCTTCGCGAACCGAAAACGTGATCAATTCACGGCTGCGTCACGCTTAGTCATCTGTGACGCTTTCAGCGACCTTTCAGCAACCTTCAGCCACATTTGGGCGCTCAAAAGCAGCGAAAAGTCGCTTGTTTTCCAGCGAGATTTAAGCGGCAATTTTGAATGTACCTAATGTCTGACTCTGAGTAACCAAGCCGCTGGATGTTTCGTCCGCTTTGAAACCGATTGCAAAGCTCAAGCATTACTGTCACAACACATGTACGTGAGCAGTCGTGGCACAACGCATGAGTGCATTGTGTTAAAGCTGGCCGTAAATCATGCCTCACTCGCGTCACTCGCGTCCTAGTCGGGGATTGCAAGAGACCCTACGGAGAAGCCATTGTTGTCAAATTGCAACTTCGAGAACCTCGAGATGACGGACGCGTATGCAGCGCGAGATTCTGAATATGCTGATTCCATCTTAGGGAGTCTTTAGGAACAAGATTCAACTTCATACTTCATGACTGTGCGTGAATACCCTTGAAACCAATCGGTTTAGTGCGGAGGTGTACAGATATGCGCACATGCGATCTCAATTCAGCCAAATGTCTTGCCGTTGCCGTTGATTTCTACCGGAAGTCATCCGAACCATTTCGGTTGCAGATCCATAGTCCAATGTAGTGTTATCTAGAAATACACCAAGATACATATATTATGAGTACAATGCCATGTCGTCCACTGAAGTTGCGCTTTCAAGCCTGCTTGAACACCTTCAAATTCTCAAATATCGTACAATGACTAGTGTTAGAAGAGATCCCGACATCACGAGACAAACCATGATGCTTGTGTGGAGGCCTAAGGCCATAGCTCCGTTAGCAGTAAGAACGATGACGTTCGAGTGCGTCGCCTGCGGAACACCGTTGGCGTCCGTAGCAGTGGCGGCAAATGTTCCTGAAGGTGCAACGTCCCAAGTGGCTGAAAAGCAAATTGCTTAGTATTCGTAGGGATCCACTGTGGCGTACTCACCAGGGAGTTGGCCACCAGAAATACCGGCGGCCTGTACCACACGTTGTAGCTCCATGCTTGCATCTCCGGGTACTGTGGAGAGAAGGCCGACTCGGGGTGGATCTTGGGAAGGGTGCGTCAAGTTGCCGTAGTAATAGGCCACCAGAGCCCTATGCATAATCGGCAAGGTAAGATGGCAATAAGCACTGGAGACACAGCCACGTACGATTTCAAGAATGGATCACCGAGACTCCAGCTGTACAGGAACCCACCGTTCCCCGGCGGATCGGTCGCTACCACGGCTGGAGTGCAGCGAGGGTTACCTGTAGAATTTGCAGACATTGGTACAGCAAAGTCGCGGGGATCGACTGAGAAGGTGACGCCGCCTATTACGAAAGAGAGATTGTGCGCGACGCTGCAGTCGAACGAATAATCTGGTTCGTCAAATTGCGACATCATGTGCTTGACGACGTCCTTCGGGCCACGAATTAAGGAGTTTCCCTGAGCAAGTGAACGATGAGATCGCTTGTCAGCAAGTATGGAGATGTAACATACGGTATCGAGGAGGGCAGACAAAGAGATGGAAGAGGGAGATAGCATAGAACGGGGTAATTTGGCATCGTTAAAGTAAACCGCATCCACCGGAATCTCCCAAGTCAACGGGTACACCTTTTAAATGTGAGACAATCTGTTGGATAATCACTATCTCATGAATAGCTCACCTCGTCCGGAGCATCGGAAGGCGGCGGTAGGCCCCCTTGGGCGGCTGTATACGCTCGCACGGGTACCCATGTGAGATGATCATCCTGGATTCCTACTGGCAAGGCGCCAACCGAGAGAAGTCCCACGTTGCCACCTATGTCAAATGTATCACGCTGAAGTGTTATTGCAATGAGAGGGCTCGACAACATATTCTGCACTATGAGCCGCGGAAGCAGCGGTCCATATGTGGCGAAGGAGGCAATCGCGGCGCTCGAGAACTGAACGGCAGCTGCATCAGACTGGCGCTTCCTTCGCGAAGATGAGCCAGGTTTCAGGAAATCAAACGAGGGGAAAGGCGGAGCGCCAATAGAAGATGTGAGGATAGGGTTGGATGTGTTGGACGACCGCTTTGTGAGCTGAGAACTGGCAGGCGCGAGCTGGGCCTGTAGGAGCTCACGCCAGATCATGCTAGGCAAGCGGCATTCCGTAGTGAGAAGCAGAATAACGCCGCGGCTGATCACGTCACGTCACCTTATAGGGGGAAATCCAAGACCTAATATTCCTGCGGAGCCTGTCTCAAACACAGTTGTATTTGTATCGTTGATCGCAGCCAAGCTTTGGTTGACTATCGAGAGGCTCGCGATGCTAACTGTATCAGAGCCAACAGGCCCAGTTGCATGCGTTCCAGTCCGTGAGTCGCCATATAGCAAACGAACGTCGAGTCCAGTGGGATGCAGTGTCTCTTGGGAATAGAGCGGTACGCCGGCGTCATTGCATTGGCCTGTGCAGGCATCAGAAACCAACCAAAGGTCTGATGACCCAGTGTCTTTCCAGCCATGAGTGCCTACAAGCTTCTGAGTGTCATGCATCATCGTACCAAGAACTAGAGCCGTTTGTGTGCTCCCCACAGAGATGAGGACGTTGTAGGTGCTGTAAGCATATCAATGAGGTTCCGTGCGCATGATGAAATAGAAGACTTCAAGCGCACATGTCCATATCGTCTCCGAGACCAATGGCTACACTCTGACCAGTTCTCTTGTCGAGGTTGGACGTTACTCGGCGGTAAATTGGCAGGTGCATTTCGACTGATTTGTCGTGCGACGCCCCTGCCAACGAGACCAGCAATAGTGAGAAAATAAAGATTAGACTAGTCATGATATAGAATCGGGTCATTCCCGCATTAATGAAACTTAAGGTATGAATGTTGCAACAAACGGATGAAGAGACGCGACTCAACCGTCTTGACATTTGACCACGTGATCGCGTGTCACATAGTTCTCGGATTGCGTTTGAGCCGACACATCTTAGAACGTTACTTGATGATGCAGAAGTACTTAATCAATCTGTATAGTAGTACATTGTGAGTAACAATATTGCGCACAGAAGGTACATGAGCAAGGAGTGGACGAGGTAGGTCGACGGAGTGTAAGATTGGATTCGAGCAGACCGATAACCAGCCACCTCTGGGTACAAGTCCGACCGTCAGAGCATGCAAAGATAAGCAATATGATAAATAGAGCATGAAGTCCAGGTACAGATGCACAGTATAACACCATCCACAGAATGTCAAAATGGTCTAAATCGCTTGGCCGTAGTATGCGCTGCCTTGTGAGGGCTCTTCCGAATGACGAGGGGCCATGTCATCATCTGGTGGTTGCGAATCGTACGCAGTCATGTACGAGCTATCGCTAGGCATTTGATACAGGTGTGACGGGCTGGGTGGACTCTGCAATCCGCCCGATGGCGCTCGTACATGCATCTCAAAAGCCTCAGCTCCTGTTGGCGGTGGCGGTCTCTGCCATGCTTCCGCCGTCGGGACAGCATGCGTAGACACAAGTTCCGTAGATACTGAGGCCATTGGAGGCGCGTGGTCATATCTGATAAGGGGCGGCGTCGGCGAAGGTGCGGGGATATCAGATGCAGAGTAGTATGAATGCCGCATGTCATCCGGCGATGGGTATGGTAGCCCTGGCCTTGGAGATACTCCAAGCATCTGATTGCGGTTGACGTCCTCGTGGAAGGCTTCATGAGTGGAGGGCCGCCCGCTCGGAGATGCTGAAGGCGGTGGCGAGAGACTGTCGGCGCTGTAGCCTTTGTCACGAGCAGGAACGACAGCTGAAACGGCATCGATATGAACACTCGACACCTCGGACTCGGAACGATAGTGCGGCTGGTGGAAAATAGGTGTCTTCTCCATGTCCCGATGTTGCTTTCTACCACGCCTGTGCTCTATGCCCAGGCGATCCTTAAGGTCACCTAGTACCCACATCTCACGAACAATGTCCCTGTCGAGAGGCATATATGCGCTCTTGAGGAACTTGACTACGAATCTCGGGGCTATACGGCCAGCATGAGCACATTAGCGGCTGAACCTTGCGCATCCGCTGCTTACCTAAAGCCACTACGACGGAAAAGAGGACGGTCGCCCAGAATGAGATTTCACCGAAGAGAACGACCACTTCATCGTTGAAGTTGGGGGTGTCAAAGAAGGAGTAGACGGTGATCCAAAGTACCATCACCACCGAGGATCCGATGACAACAATCCAAGTAATGATTGTCCAGCTGCAAATCGTCAGACAGCTGTCATGCTCGGAATATATCAAATACTTACTAGCGAGTGTTCATCCCTACGTATAAGTTCGCTGCAAAAATCGCGGCCACCGAGACTGTAGTACCGAAGTCCGAAATGGATTCAATTGCTTTGCCATTCCAGGAGGCGGCCAGACCCAGCGTCCAGACGAGGTATGGAATGAAGAAGACGACAACCGATTGGTAAAGGCCATCCAGCATGTACATCCAAAATTTTAAACGAGTGTATTCCAACCCGCGTATACCTCGGATGTACAGCTGTGGGAATGCGAGTGCCGCCTTCGCATTAATATCCTGATCGAACGCTGCCACGGTGTGAGCAACAATGTGTATAATAAAGTGACGTACACACCTCCAAGGACAATGACCGGCAAGGAGGTGAAGACCAAATTGTACAGCAGGATGAAGGTGTATTGGTATAGATATGTGGCGTCGAAACTGCGTGCCGTAAATCTGTTGAGGCGCATTCCGTCAAGAATACACGACGACGTACTTATTGTAGATCTGGAACCAGAACATAGCGAAAGTCCAGATAACGTTCTGCAAATGTAGTCTAGTCATATAATCCGATCGGCCAGCAGCTGTGACGAACCTTATAGAAGAAATTGCTGTGCATATCCGCAACTCGCTGGTATGACCAGCGGCCATGAACGAGAAGCAGCTTGGTTAAAAAGCGGAACTGCGCGAAAGCATAGTCCGCCGACATTGCAGCTTGCGAACCCTCAAGACCCAGCAGGCCACACCCGATATTTGCTTCTTGGATCATGGCGACGTCGTTTGCACCGTCGCCTATGGACAATGTCATGGCGGATCGCCCTTCTTTGACCTACAGTCGGACATGTAAGCAAGGTCGATCACACATGAAGCAGCGTCCGTACCAGCTTGACAACCAAAGCCTTCTGAGCGGGAGAGACACGACAGCAGACAACGGTCTCGCACTGAGTAGTCAGGTTCAAGAAGAGGGACGACAGAGTAGGTGAAAGAGCATGGCGCAGTGTATCGCCGTCAATCACAACGGCGAACGATGCCTGCGCTCCAGATACAAACCCACGTTTCCGCGGGTCCAACGTGGGCGGTCCCAACACTGATGCAATCTTGTTCAGACCACCCTCAATCTGTAACCGAGCAGCTTCCACTGTCTCAGCGGATAAGATCATGATGTCCATATCGCTCTTGAGCAAATTGCAGCTGAAGCCTAGATTGTCATCGTTATTATGGTGCTATAAGCGCCCATAACATGCACGCACCAATCTCAATAGCCGTCTGAATCTTGTCACCTGGCAAATGGTCTCAAAGATACATCCATAGAAAAGATTAGCGCAAGCATACCAGTGAGGATCCAAAGCTTGATACCGGCCTGATGAAGGAGCTCAATGGCCTCCGGTACACCTTCCTGCAGCTTGTCCTCTAGAGCGGTGGCACCGAGTATCGTAAGCGAGTGTTCGATCTGCTCGTTTGCCTTGTCGATCGCCGCGTCACGGTCCGTGATCGAGTTAGTCGCGTCCTCATAGACGCGCTGCCAACCCACGTACTCCTCCTCGCTCAAGTATCGTTGCGCGATGCACAGCGTACGTAGACCACCGTTAGCGTATGCCTCCATGTCCTGCGAAGTCTTCTCCTTGATCGCGGGGTCGTGATCAGCAGCGAGGCGTTGGTAGATGACGCTATCGGCACCCTTGCAGTACAGGATGAGCTGGCCCTGTGGGTTGCGGACGACAACGCTCATGCGTTTCCGCGTGCTGTTGAACTCGAGTACATTCAGGAGAGTGTACCGCTCCGGCTGGCCCATTACTTCGATATCGATACCATCGCGTGATTTCTGGATGAAGGGGAATCCGGCATCGCGAGCAGCAGCAACTAGAGCAGCTTCGTCAGGCGACTCGGCCTTATACTCCAGGTGGTAGGGGTGCTCAAGTGGTTCAGGACGATCCGACAAGACAGTATGACAGACAGCAAGTGCACGGAAGAATGCGATGAGATGGCCTCTTTGCTCGGATGCCTTATTAGCCAGGTCTTCCGCCAGCTTAGGCGAGATGAGGGTAAGTTTGTCCTCCTGCAAGTAGCGATTCTTAAACGTGTTGGACATCTTGGAGAGCATGTCTTGCTTGAGAACCCGCAGCTGCCGGTCCTGTTCCAGAGGATCCATCAACTCGCCTGTGCCGTCACGCTTAGCCGCGCCACGTTGCGCCTCGGTAACGCCCTCGCCGTAGGAGACTCCATGTACGGAGCACTTTTGGAACTCCATGATGTTCTGCGTGAGCGTGCCCGTCTTGTCGGAGAAGACGTATTCGATCTGGCCGAGGTCGTCAGAGATGTTCCACGTCTTGGGGACACAAGCTGCATCGAGTGGCTTGTAGTACATGTCAATATCCTGTGAGATGAAGTACGCCTGGATCGTCTTGACAATTTCGATGGAGATGTACAAGGAAACGGGGACGATGTTCTGGAAGGCGATTAGGCACGAACTGTGTGATTTTGTCAGCACCATAAACGCCGAGTCAACATGAACCGCTCAGACTTACACAAAGGTGACTATGGCATTAACAACAGGAGATGATGATGGATTCTCGTCGATCTCGAAGAAGTCAGCGCTCGTCCCGCTCTTCGCGTCGAACAGCCCGTTGGCAATGGCTGAGATGAGACACATCCCAAACAGGACGACGAAGTTCACGATGACATTGAAGTTCGTCTCCTTCTCGATCTTAGACTGCTTTGACGGAGTCGCGCCGCCGTTCAACATAATCTTTGTGTCTGGGCCGGTGAAAACAACAAGCCCGATGACCCATGCCGTGTTCCGCAGAGTGCACCCACGGAGGAGCATCTCGTTGATGGACACTGACTCCTGCTTTAGCTCCCCATGCTCCGGCTCCCGGTAACGCAGAACACCGTGGTACAGGTACAGGTTCTGGTGTGGAGGCTCCGAGTCGAGCACGAATGACGAGCGTTCCACGTCCTCCTCAGACGTGATCGACGCTGTTGCGCGGACGGACTTCCGCGGCTTCAGGTTCGTCTCGCCGTCCAGGTTCTTCGTCTCGACGTAGCACATGTTGTCCGGGTCCGACGTCGACAGAACAACAATGTCCGCAGGGATCTGCTCATTCTCCCGCAACAGTACGATGTCACCCACCTCAAGCTTCTTCCAGAGTGTCCGTTCCCAGCGGGCAAAGCCCGCCATCCGCTGCCCGTCGTTGACTACACCAATTGATGACCGAGACCTCACGGACTCCTGGTAAATCGCGAGCGTGCCAGAGCCGCCAGCCCACGAACCTAGTCGCGCGTGCCCGGGCCCAGGCATATCGACAAGCTTCGGCTCGCCAGCCTTTGGAGGGTAGCTGTGGAATTCCGCGATAGAGCTTACCGAGTCCCCCCTCCTCTGCATGCCCGCTGGCGGTAACGATGACAGCGACGCATTTGGGTCATTCGATACCCGCATGCTTACCAGGTTACCCTCCAGCCCCTTGCTCAGCACGATCTGCATGCCCTCCTCCGCCTCACGTTCACGCAGGCGACGCACGCCCCGCGTCACTCTTCCTGGCTTGTTGAGCCCTAGAACCTTATCATACCATGACCGTGGGTCCGTAGGCTGGTTCACGTTCCGCCATTGTCCGAGCTTGGTCGATGGGGATGTGTTAACCTCCTCATCCAGTCGCGCGCGGCGGTAATCTTCTATTCCATCCTTGATGGCGGTGATGCCCAAAATGAAGATTAGCGGGAGCGCCGCGAGCTGCGGCGTAGTAGCACCAAAGAGGGGGAACACTGCGGCGCATGTCAGCTACTGGGGTAAGTTGTTCCCTACGTCTAGGCCCACCTTCTGCAACGACCAGTGCCAGGAAGTAGATGTTGGCCGCCCTGAGAACGCTGTGTCAGCACTCGAGAAATCGTGTGTGTGAGCTCAGCGCACCGTCGGAATTGCTCGTAAAGGTTCTTGGGTAAGAACGTGATGATAGTGTACTCTGCCAAACTTAGCGCACTGGGAGCGGAACTCATACATGACCGTACTCACTGCTCGTCCGGACCTTGTTCCTCTTGTAACGCACCACCGGCTCACCACGAGAATCGAGCTCCTCGCGAGGCAAAGGGGAGTTCACGTAGATCTTCCTGCGTACACCCGCGACGGGCGGAGTCGGCACCTCAGGAGCGTTCGCCTGCGAGGTAGCCGACTCGCGCGTCTTCTTCTTCTGCGACATGCGATGGAAGAACGCCTTGCCCTTCATTGACAGCCGCCTCCTCTCTGACCGCTCCTCCTGTCGTGCCGTCTCTGCGAGCGTCGACGCCGCCGTTCGCACGGTTCGCAGGCGCAGCTCTGGGTCGATGCCGTCTTCGTCATCGTGTTCCAAGTCGTCTTGATGTGGGTGTCGCCGGAAGAAAGACATACGAGCAGCTAGGCTCGGAGTGTGGGGGAATGGTGTGCAGCCCGGTACCAGCGCGGCGCGTGCAGATGTCTATGTGAAGGTGAGATGCTGGAGGGATTGGGAATGTGCTGCGACTTGTGCCGAGGCGGTGAGTTTGACTGCCTTGGGCCTAACGCTTATTGCCAGCGACCCCGCGCACCCCCGGTGAAAATAAGCCCGACATCATCACCGAGAAATCCGAACTCACAAGGCTACAGTAATTCCGTGTCCGAGAGCTGGTACCGAGTAGATTGTTGCCTAGCAGCAAGCTGCAAGTTCTGCGGAAGAGGTAACGCACCAACCTCGGCGCCTTTTAGAGCGTCGATCGTCCAGGAGGCAGAATCAGTGAGTGAGTCGCGGTTCGTGACCACAAACTTACAGATTGGACAATATAATCTCCCGCTACTGCGTCGCGGGATGGTTGGGGTCGGGAACTTCTGAATCAGAATAAGCACTTTGGCTTTGTTGCCTATTAGTCGGCAGATGCCGAGGATTTCGACAAGTGATATATAATCATTAAGAAGTTGCATTATTAGTGGGTCCATAACCCCGTATTTTGAATCACTCGGCTTGCCCTACACAAAACAGGTCCCTCTGAAGTGTCCGGTTATAAACACGCTATAGAACTACAAGAAAACACAGGACGATGACGCAATTTTTCGAATGCTACCCTCAGGATGACAAATACCACTAAACCAAGCAGACTCACCCACCGAAAACACCAGTAGCTAGCGTGAGTGAAAGTTGTCAGCATTTGTCACTCATCCGTTCCTGAGCAAGCTACTGTGTCGTCTCGTGCCATAGTTGTAAGAGTAACAGCGTACTCGGGGTCCCCGAGCCCGGGCGCGAACTTCATTACATCAAAGATGTGTGTGTCACATTCCTGTGCCCTCGGAGCAGAACACGGGCCGCCACAAGATGTGCATCCATAAGTTATGTAAGAGACATGGTCAGAACAGGGATAAAAATACATACCGTAATCAGCTTCTCCACTGCATCGTTCACGCACCGTTTCGCAATATACAGCAAAACCAATATTGATAGACCTCCCTCGCAAAATGTACAGATAGGCGGCATGGAGCATAGCGGCGCTCGGCACCTCGGGGGTGACGTGCCCTCATCCCCCAGAGATCTCAGTGTTGTTCATGGCACCCATATATAGTCGTAATCCACGCCGATGTCTCAATATTCGTCTATATGTCGAGGTCTACATCGTCGCTCTCTACTTCTGCAAACAAAGGTAGACAGCGACGAACCCTACGATACCAGTAGCTTCCTTAATCTGGACATTAGTCATGGAGTCAGGCATGTATTAGACACCCAATTCCTTCTGAGGAGGGATATATCGCCCATCCTAAGAATGACGGCGAGAGGACGAGGGGATTACAGCGAGCGTCTACCTCACGATCCTCAGTAGCCCATCGGCCGCTCGTCGACGTCTCTGCACCACTGCCGACTCCTGCCGCGAGCTTCTGCCCCACTTTGCCGATGTGTATACTTTGCGAGGGGAGGTCTATCAATATTGGTTTTGCTGTAATTCCCGCGAATTCTAGAGACGCAGCGCGTCCAAACCGCTTCCGAACAGGAAGGAAACGGCCCTGCAACAGCCACATTACATAGTCATAGTTCTCACCCTCTTGCAACACGTTTATGAGATAGCAGGTCAATGAAGTAGCCCCATGAAACACAGACTTACACTAAAACTCGTTCTGAGCTACTGAGTCGCTGCCACCCTATTGTGGAGCCACTACAATGAACTATTAGCAATCATCAATAAAGACTGAACAGGTGCGTGAAGATTCCCTGTAAAGAGGTGCTGTGTGTCGATGGGAAGAAGGGGAAGAGACTGTGCGCATCTCAACGACATTACAGGATGCGAGCCCCTTGATCATGATATGTTCTTGCCCACTTCGTTCTACTCCGTAGATAGCCCATCGGTTACTGCCCAGTATACATTACTCGTCGCCAAGCGCATGTACCCTTGAGTTGTTGTGAATGAATATGCTGTGCAGAATTGCTGCTCCCATTGATGCAACATCATAGACGCCGTAGATCGTGGCGGTAACTAGCAGCTGACCAAGAACCCGAGTGCAAACCCAGTGGAATCCTCGAGGACGGGGTTCAAGGACCCCATAGCGAAGAACTGGGGCATAGGCTCGTGCCAACCTTGATGTGGCACGACCATTATAAACAGCCCACACCTGCAACCTCGATCGCGCGATACAGCCCGAAGCAGCTTCCCTGCGCAGCAGATCCGCGCGACTCGCTGGCGAACAAGCAAACTTGCAGGACGAGATTCGCGCACCAGCATTTGCGACAGCACGGCTGCCTAGTCGAGGATGTGTCGTTGAACGTGCGAGATGGGGCGCGCCTGGTATTGACGTCGACCTGGCAATGGAGGTCTTCCCCAACGTGTTGTGCAGAAGCCAGCGGCAGTTGCTTGGCTTCTACCTCGAGGCACGTTCACTATATCTTCTATCTGACCAGGTCATATTGTCGCACTTCGTGAGGAACCCGAAGGCCATTGTATATAGGAGACCTTCTCGCTCTCATGCCGCGTTCCCGCCTTTGTGGGAGAGTACTGGGGCGATTCGGGTCAGCTTGTGCGATGAACAGATTGCAAGCAAGTCTTACCAGGCTGCCAATATTCGCTCATACGCATTGCTACCTGCGCACATTTGACAACTAATAGCTCCGGGGAACACAAGCTTCATTGATAACAAAGCCGCAGTGTGTCCGCACAATGTCCGCACGCCCACGTCCTCGACGAAGAGACCGTGGACTGAGAGGTTCCGAAGCATAACATTCTGCCAATGACCCGAGCTCCAAGCTGTTGACAGCTCAACATTCCGCGGCCACTCAGTCAAGAAAGGCAAACCAGCCCCGCTAACCGGCTTGCGGCGCGCAATCACGCAGACGAGCCCAGCCAGGACAAAACACATGTATCCGATCACAGCTCCAATTTGACATTCATTTGCACAAGAAGCTCTAACCGCACCCGATGACATATCAGGGCGACTCAGATTGATACGGCGCGGCTGTGTGAAGGGGCACGATCGTGTCCATACTTAGAAGCCGCTTGAGAGCGAGGTGTTCCCAGGTCCCATAATTAGCGCATCGGCGTTGAAACGTTGACATACTATGTGCGCGGCAGGTCGGTGGTGCCAGAAGAAAGCAAAAGCAAGAGCAAGACGCCGTCCAGCACAGACAAGTCGTTCCCCGAGAGCTGCCCAGAGGCAGCAGGCGATATGCACGTCCCGCGCACGGATGGAGCTCAGGCAAACGCAGACCCCGAGCCAGAACCCAGGACGTTGTGCATATCAAGAAGCCCAGCGCAGCCACACCTCGCCGGCGTGTCGCGAGGACCGTGCGCCACCAGAACGCATGCACGCACGCGTACGACGTCAGGTTCTCGCGCGCGGCGAGAAGACCCGGGTGCCAGAGCCACACAGAACACAGAACTAGTGCTTGACAGCGGAGCATCAGCACTACACCGCGTCCTGCCCAACGGAACACGTTCGTGGCATCCGATACACACCTGCGGTGCGGCGAGCATCATCGACCCATCGAAGAACCGTCCTGGCCAGAAGTGCACTCATAGTATCTGAATCTGGAACGCAAGCACCAGAACTGACCGCACAGCAGCATATCTGAATTGCAGCGTTCATCTCCGTTCCAGCTGTCCATTCGCACCAAGATATGTAGTCCCCGAAGGTGCGCTCGGCGAGCCATGCACATGGCGAGGAGCGGCCAGGAGCAGTCGGCTCGGGGAGGTTTCAGCGAAGGTGCCGGAGCGGTCCGGGTGCGGAAAAAGACGGAGCATCTCCACAATAGGAAATGCCGCACGATCTCCGCTCCATGCGGACCAAATCTCGAACGCGGAACATTCGCCTCACCTCGCCGTCGCCTGCGTGCCCCAGCCAATTGAATGGCCAACATTTCCCGACGACAGAAAGGCAATCCTGCAGCAGGATCTGGCGCTGCGCGTCAGCCCACCCATGGCCGGGACGACTCACCGGGACGCTCACACGACCTGTTCTGGCAGAGGCGCCTGGCAACCGCCCGCCCATTGTTTTCCGTTTCAAATCCAAGAAGACTGCATTGCCATTGCGGGGGCCAAGCCATATGAGGCAGATTATGCGAGGGATAGACATGAGAATGCGAGAGCAAGAAGAAAAGGAAGCTCCAATGGATACACTGCGCCTGTCTGGCGAGAGGTCTATGGGACACTAGTACGATACTGTTCGAGCGGGGTACTGTGCGGCCTGAGGTATACGTAAGACTAGTGGGGTGCGGGACCAGACCGCGAGAATAAGTTAGTCAGAGTGACAGTCCAAAGACAGGAAGAGATAGGAAAGACAAAGACAAAGAGTGGTCCGTGTTGCGGGTTGCGTTTGGGCATTCTGGACGTGCGGGTCATGCTCATTCTGTGGAAGTAGACATCAATAGGTTGTCAAGCGCAGGAAACGAGGGTACGCACACACACGTCTCCGATCGTGATCATAATCATCTGTCAGTGCGCCAGTGACACCTGGGCGCCGGACTTCAAGGGCCCCGCCGAGGGCAGCTTCGCGCGCTGGAAGTTCCGCACAAACTCGAACTGAGGGCCCGTCTCGGGGCTGCAGGGGAAGCGCTTGCACTTCTCCACCGTCTTCCATTCTTCGGCGATCATGCGCAGCGCGTCCGCCCCGTCCTTCGCGATGCCACACTCGACGAGCCAGCACCCGACCACGAGCCCGGTGCGCCCAATCCCGCCGCGACAGTGCACCGCACAGATGCGCGCGCGCTGCTCGCTGTCGCGCAGCACAGACATGATGCCGCGCACAAACTCGACGCTCTCGGGCAAGCTGCGGTCGCGGATCGGGAAATTGTGGTACTCGACGTCGCCCGCGTCGATCCCGAGCAGGGCGCAGCGGGCTGCGAGGTGCGGGGCGTACGAGAAGAGCTCGTGCGGCTCGGTCAGGTCGATGAATGTGCGCACCCCGGCGAGGAGGAGTGCGTCGAGCTTCTGCCTGGTGTGCTTGTGCGCGATCTGCGTCGGGGTCAGGGGGCAGTAGGGGAACTCGCACGCGACGAGGTAGGGCGTGGCCCAGTACGAATTGGGGATGGGGCGTGTGCGGTTGCGGACGGCGGTGGCGCCTGTGTTGAAGCTCGTGTGCGGGACGATGGGGCGGGGGGCATACTCGGGCTGGTGCCGGAGCACGGTTGTGAGGGAGGGCTGGGAGATCTCGCGAGTGGCGACGGCCATGTTGAGGAGAGCAGTGTCGAGGCGTAGGGGTTTTAAGCGTGCAGCAAGGATAGAGGAGTGAGTCCTGTCACTTCCAGGCGCGAGGTGGTGGTGCAAGGTAGAGTCGAGGCCTCGCGCCCGTCTGGTGGACTGGAACATGCGAGGCACCGACACAGCGGGACGACCGCGGATGCACCCACGTGCCACAGATCCAGGCCCCGATGACGCGGAATTTGCGCGGGATACCGGATCGGTCGTTTGTCCTTGCGCTGACTTGCACTGACTTGGTTGTGCTGAAATACGGGCCTAGTTATATGCAAGGATCACCCCAATGTCTGCTCTCCGCTTTATGTCCACCCCAGATTCTTTGCAAAGGCTAGTCGTCGCGCTCCGGACAACTGAATGGCTATCTTCAGAACACCGATGTCATCGTGGTGTGACCTAGAGCACTCCCAGTCGGCCACTATCGACGTCGGCGGCGGCCGCGGGGCAAGAAGCGCAGTCCATTCCTGCTTGTTACGGTCATAAGTACTGGACGTGCAGCAGCCGTGGGACAACCGCTGTTCGCCGGGTGAAGCACCCATGGTTCGCAACGTCAGTCACTGCGTCTGCACTGATAAATGCATTGAGCTGAAATCTCACGAGGGGACGGTCATTGGGGTTATATGTGCTCGCTGCTGGACGATCCCCATCGTGGTCTCTGAGTACCTTTACTTGACAGTCAGCATATCCTCATCAGAACCCCAACCCTATGGTTGCCGTGGGATCCAGGAGTTGTTGGCAGGCTGATGTTCAAGCCTTTCGCCAGCCCAATGCCTGTGGACTTCTGCGTGGAGTTGTCCGAACGACGACGCGCGAAGTATAGTAGCGACGATGCGAGCCCGAATGACTATGCGCGAGCGATTGTGCGTGTCCGATAGACAACGCGCGAACGACGATATAACAAACGAACAAAACACTCACCGTGTACGTGTGACTCTCGGGCCACTCGTCCGTACCAGTGCAGAAGAGGCGAGAGAGCGAGAAAGTGAGAGATGGGCGTGGTTCAAGAGAGAGAGGAAGATACATTTTCTCGATGCCGACGCTGGTTTATATACGTACAGAGAGGCCTTGACACGAGTGACATCATACCGAACCTAGGAGGAGTGAATGACGCACACTATAGCAGTGGATCGCAAGAAGTCCGAAACAGAAAGACATAATGTGAAAGAGGATGGAAGCCCCGTCCCGGGCACAGACCAGCGAGACTCGACGTCTCCGGATCGGATCCACGACTGTCAATGTCTCAGCTTCTCGAAGGTGTGAGTCCCCGGTGCGTCATATTTACGCTCGCGACCTACCGCCCTCAGGTGCGTGACGACCTCGGCACCATCGATCAGCCTACGACAGCCGCTTCTCCTCCCCATCGACGCCGTCATTGCAAGCCTTAGAGTCGCCAAAACAGGAATAAGTACGTACTTTCATGTCGATCTTGGCAGAATAGAAGCGCGTGAAAGGACAAAAGATAGAAGGAAAGAAAAGAAACTAGACCAAATCCGTCGACATCGTTCTCCTGGGATCGGCGCGTTCTCCTCCACCACAGAGTGAGTTCAGACCTGTGGCATGCGGATGGACCGAGAGAGAGATGCTGCGCTCCGTCAGACCGACTATCCGTATATAACAGCAAGAGCTAGAGCGCCATCGAACACCGGTCGGCCGACCTCGACGACCGAGACTCCCGTCTGTGCAGATACAACAGCAGTCGGCACTACAGCTGCCAGGATAATAAAATCTACATGGACATGAGACGAGCTATCCAGCAAGGTCTCGTATCTGCTTGGGCCGCCTTGTTGCTCTGGGATCAGCCGTGTAAGAGCAACGGAGGCGATTCGGGATTTTATTCAATTAGAATCTGGGTCCTAATCCATCTTTCAGTCTTCATGCAAGAACCGGTGAGCGAAGCTTGGGTTTTGTTGATGTTTATGATTTTCATTGAGAGAAATGGAAGTGGAGAGTAGCTAAGGAGAGCGAGAGGTCGTGGGTCAATTTATGTCATTTCAAAAGCAACTACGTACTGACATGAAGCGAAAGACGTCAGAGGCGATCGAGACGGGTGGCCGAGAAAGGAAAGAGACCTGTCATAAGAGGCGATTCAGACGCCCTCATGCTTACTGTCAGCCCAACATTGAAGGCCTTACTGTCTCAAGCGGTAAGGCCCAAAGAACAATGGCGCGCTCGGTTTTCGTTTTCGTTTTCTTCTTTTCTTTGCTTCTCTCTCTCTCTCCTCTGCGATTGATGGACACGGTTGTATCTCTTTTGCTTCGACTCTAAGGCTTGCGAGGACGGCGTCGAAGGCGAGGGAAAGCAGCAGCGTAGGCCGATCAGGTACAGGAAAGGGCTTCCATCTCGATTCGGATACTGGTATGCTATTCTTGGACGGTGGTCGATCGTTTGACATGATTCGAGTCTCCGTGTCCTTATGTGCGTCATCCTCTCCTCGCAGAACAGGTATGACATCACTGCTGTCAAGGCCTCTTTGTACTTATATAAACCGGCGTCGACGCCGAGAAACGCATTTTCCCCCTCTTCCTTGAACTACGAGCATCGCGTTTAGATACTCATCGACAACTTTGTCAAAAGCATTGCAATATACTTCGAGCTAGTCGACAAGTCATTCATTCCTTCGACCATCTCCGGACGACACTGCGACTATCTCTCCCACAGCGGGAGTCGCTTCGAATCAGTTCTGCTTATACTGCCCACAGCTGTTTCTATATCCTCTCAGTAACAGAAGTATCTGATGACGTTGTCAGTGAGCATTTCTGTTAGATTCTGCATGATTTGTGAATATGACAACAAGCGAAAGCGAAGCATCTGATAAAGCGACTTTGAAAAACCTATGGCTACAAATATAGTCACTGAAAAGTGGATTATACGATGGTACGTTTTCTCGATAGCAGGCTAACAGCAAGCAGACCATATTCTGCGAAGTACACGGTACATCTCCGAGGCCCCGCCCCAGGTTATGACAGGCAGAACAACCACACGAGACAATTCCACACAACACCGACTTACTTCCCCTCCCTTCAGGATGACGACAGCACGATAGCGGACTCCAGCGCCGTCGGGACGTCCTGGATGTCCGTCGACTCCACATCGTCCGCCGGCCAGGCCTCGAGGTCGAGATCGAAGTGCGGGAGGGGCGGCAGCTCCCCCATAGCAACGTCCAACTCGCCCTCAAAGTCCTCGTAAGCCTCAGCAACCTCGTCCGCCTCCGACGCGCTGCGGCCCGACACGACCGGCTGCATCTGCACGTCGCGCACCGTCGCGCCGTACTCCGCCCGCTCGCCCAGCACACCCATCAGCGCGGGGTCCATCGCCGTCTCGAACCCGCGCACGACCAGCCGGTCCAGCTGCGGGCACACGCAGAACGGGGCGTCGCACGGCCGGCCCGGGCGCAGCGCGCGCGTCGCCGCCGCGGGCGTGTTGATGAGCATCAGCGAGTGCAGCCGCGGCGCGGACGCGAAGAGCAGCTGGAACGCGTGCTCCGACGCGCCGACTTCGTTGAGGGACATCGCGGTGAGGTGCGGGAACACGGGGTACAGGGCGAGCTCGTGCAGGCGGAAGCCGCCGACGGGGATGTGGGCGGACTGCCGCGCACAGTATGCGAGCAGCGGGTCCGCGGGCTGCTCGTCCAGCCCGGCCGGGTCTCTCGCGTCTTGCAGCCCGAGCTCGCGCAGGTCCGGCGCCTCGATCATGCGCAGGAGGTCAATCGCCGCGCCGGGGCTTTCGAATCCCAGAGTCAGCTTCCGGAGTCGCGGGAGCGGCAGGGGTTCGAGTGCATGGCCTTCCGACAAGTTGGCGGGCCCGGACACTTTGATGGTCAACTGCTCCAGCATCGCACACCGGTCGAGCAGCTGTCGGAACTCCGAGACGCTCGGACGGACCGCCGCGCAGTGGTATGTCAATTGAAGCGACTTTAGAGACAGGGACGGCAGCCGCGGGATGAACGTGAACCAGTCGACGTGCACACCAGCCAGCGTGAGTTGCTTCAGGCGCGGGAGCGCCACTCCGGGCTCTGCGCAGCCGAAGGGCAGGAACGCGCGCCCGGCGAGCTCTTCTGGAATGAAGTAGGGCGCGTAGCTCACGAACTCGTTGCAGCGCATCAAGATCAGGCTTTGGAGGAGCGGCGCCCTAGGGGGCTCAACATCACCGCGTTTTCCGTTGGGAGTGCCTGCAGAGAAGACGTTCAGCGCTAGGTGCATGGGCGCCCAGCGGTCTGTCAGGACCACAAGGGAGCGCGCTCGGTGAAGGTAGGGGCGGACAATTTCCAGCGCGACCCGCATGTGCGCCAACGAGAACGGGTGCCGGTAGTCGCTCTCGGGGTCATAGTCAATCAAGGGAGTACTACCTGCTGACGAGCAGCTGAGAGATAAACAACATGAGTACGGGAAGGTAAGATTATTTCTTGCGACTTACTCGAATTCCGAAAAGTCCCAGTCCGGATCACGAGCGTCGATGAATATATCGAGAGCGTAGTTGCCTGAGCGCGACAAAAATAGACGCGCGCAGTAGAAACTATCTTCGTCGGTGGCGGATTCCTCAATAGCATCATCGGTGGTCATATAGATTCGGCTCCATAGCTCGGACGTAGACAATGCAACACGGCGCCAGTGTTTGCTGACGGCGGCTACGAAGACGGAATACCCGTACGACACCTGCGTGCACGAAGATATGTGTTCATGGGCTTCAGGCTTTGGTCTGTCGTCCTCATCAATGAAGGCACCGAGGGCGAGGACGTACGAAAGTATTTCGTCAGGCAGCCGGTCTACTGGTGAGGTGTGCCGCTGCATAGGCTGGCGGGTGGAACAAAGGTAAATTGCAGCTGCAGCATGTAATGCAGACTATGACGGTGAGCCTTATGAGCAGAATATCATGCATCCTTTGTCGTACTAATTGAGATGGCTAAACAAAAGAGTGTCCTGGATGCCCGTGAGAACAGGGGGTTGCATTATTCGACCAATCCGGAGCCGAGTTGCCAGATCCGTCCTGGGCGCTTCGACCACCTATTGTCCTGCCAGACAGCATCGCGCAATCTTCTGTCCCCCTGCGGCTGTAACAGAGCTTGAATGACATTGATAGCAATATGTGCCTTGCGCAAGCAGGTCAAAAACCCATGATAGGACTCACTGCCCTCTTTCAGCGCTTTCCAGTTGATGTGGGCCTTGGTAAATGATCGCGACGCGACCAAGATATGCAGAAGAAAGTCCGGTCCCTCTGTGTATGGGCTCTCGACCCTGCATAATGTCAGTCTTCCTCTCTTTCTATATGTGCTTATCATTGGAGATGCTGGGCCAATCAACCATACCAGTATCATATGGCTAAGCAACGTGGATGTGAAGGGACTGGATGCAGGTTGAACTTGTCTTGCAGCCTCAAACCACAGTGTGACAGCTTCGCCATCGGGTCAACCAGCAGACTGGATCAAACTAACGCAGGTTGTTTGTACCTGAAGGGGGTACTCATGATTGACAGAGCATCGTGCGTCAGGGAGTGATCCGTAGGAACATCCGACTGACTGGCCGTCAATGGCCTCAGACAGATGTAGATAAGGCGGACAGGCACAGGCCAGGGACCCTAGTAGCGATGAAACGAGCATGAGGGCATTCAAGCGAAGGCGAGCTCGACCCCATCCGCTGCGATCTGTGCCAGGTATATTACTGTTTCCGCCAGTATTATCAGCTCTCCCTTTTTGGCGAAGACCATATTGGCGGACTCGGCACCAAGGAGGAACTTCCCGATGAGCGTGCCTTCCTGGTTCCATACCTAGGAGAGATAGGTCAGCACAGATGCATAGCAGTGGGGCACCAGGTATGCGCACATGTACGCCATCTCCACATGCGGCGTACACATTCCCTGCATTGTCCACTTGTATTCCGTCGGGCACGCCGGTATCGATATACGCGAAAACACGTCGGTTGAGGTAGACTTGACTTTTGGGATCGACATCAAAAGCGTATCTGGAAAGTGTTGAGGCCCCATAAAATTAGCAGTCTGCCAAGGTATCGAGACCTACATCGTAGCCGGATGTGTTTGGTTCTTGCCCAGAAACCCACCGGCGGCGCCGGAGTCAGCGCTATGATTCATATGTTCAGGAACAGAACAGGGATGCATGTGAAGGTGCCTACACGTATGCAACATTCCCATCTCTTGTGAACGCCAGGCCATTGCATCTATTGAAACCGTCTGCGACGACGCGAACGCTTCCCATATCAGGATCGAAGCGGTACACTTGATTGGGCAGTAGGGGTGGCGGACGGAAGTGATTGTAAAACCCGTACCTATTGGCCGGAGTAAATAGCGCTGGCGGAGGTGAGGGTCATACATCAACTACGCACGTTACATCCGTGAAAAAGATTGCCTTGCTCCTCGGATGGATCTTGACGTCGTTGAGCGAGTTGAATTGCCTCCCATAGTAATTGTCGAGCAGGGTTGTGACGTTATATGGCGGGAGAGGATTCACAAGAGTCAGGGAAGGCGGTAGATGAGCCCTCCCAGAGTTGATCAACAACAAGGAAGAACGGAATGGACCAGTGCCACCGTTAGTCATTTGAACGGTATCGGCAAGATCAAGCTATCCGACAGCGTGTTAGTCAATCGGACCAAGGCTACTTCGAAGTGAGCATCCTGTACTTTGGTAGCAGACACGTTCACAGGGGCGACACTACTGCCTGACGCCGCAATCGTCCCCCGCACTTGCTTCATGCTGATTTTAGCCACTTGATTGTTCGTGTCCCAGTCGTTGAAACCAAGATATCCGCCGGCGTTGCTGCAGAAGAAGACCTCATCCGTCTCCGGAGCCCAAACTGGTGCCTCATGTGCGAATGCGAATCCAGGACTGGTCGAGATTGCGCGGATAGACGGGCTTGAGCCCAGCACGTCCAGGAACGCTGGATGAAACACTTGAAAGAAAGGCGGCTGTGTGTCTGTTGGATTGAAGTGCTCCCATGCATTTCCGCGGAAGGCTCCGTCTCTACCAATCACGGAGGACGTGATATACTGACCCACGGGTCAATAAAACTGTGTAAATGACCCCTGAATGCTTCTCACCACGGATTGCGGAGGTAGTGCCTTGATATTCACGACTGTCGTTTGAATTTGGGTGGAGAACCATGCCCACGTAAGAGAGCCTGCTGCCGCGGCGATTGATAACTGCCACAACATTTACGAGTTCCCTGGCGTTAACCGTGGCTATGTCTCGAAGGGCGTCGCCCGGGACGCGGGGCAGTCGTCTACTATATACCTTCCCCAATGCGTTTTGGAGCAGGGCTGCAACAAGGCAGCCCGACGGGTCTTGCATGGTTCAGCTGACCTGGTGGTACCGGACAAGCCTCGGATGAGTGCGCGAATGCTCGTTTTGAACTTCGGACGGACCGAACAAGAGACACGGTATTCGTCGGAATTGCCGAGACACGCCAGTCGAACATAGCTCTGGCTGCTAGCCCCCCTGAGAGGGAATCATGCCAAAGACAATTGATACTCTGGGGTGTATAGAGTTGCTCATGGCCGCGTTCGCAAGCCTCGGGTTCACGAACCACTGCATATTGTTTCATGATTCTCGTGTCAATAGATGCGTTGAGATCTTCTTCACACCTGTGGATATTCTTCGTGCAATGCAATGAGTGGTACTTGTACCGACACGAATCCGCGAGGACGACTCGTTTTGAGGGTGTAATAAGCATAGAGTTGCTCAAATCATCACGGCATGTCACGGCGACAAGTTCACACTCCGACGCGGTAACGCCCGCCAGCAACGAGGTCTTGCAAACGCATCTGTGCGACATGCCGAGCGGAGTCTGAAATACAGTCACATCCAGCCACATGAGCAAGACGATCTCATCCACCATGCTTGTCTACATTGTACCTCAAGTACTTTAAAGTATCGGGCTTGTCGATAAACATTCATATCAATAGAGAATGAAGACTGAAAGCTTCCGGGATGAAATTCTCATCGCATTCAGGCGGGATCTAGTTCGATATTTGCGTACACTGTCGCCAAAATGCCTTGTCGAGCATGCTACTCTTTCCACATCCATGATTTTATCATTTTGGTGCCATGGGGGCATCCATAGGGACTATATACACTCTCACAGATTTTGCGGGATTTAAGATAAAAATGTGGAAGGCTGTACAAGGCGGTTTGAGCAACTCTATACACCCCATAGTACATTAGTCAAGTTGTCACTCCAGTGGCGAGCGATAATTCGGCTCAGTCTCCAATAAATGCAGGTGCTGACGAATCAGAGGTGTAGTTTATCAGAATTATTTCAAGATCACCAATCACTGTCGAGAACATGATCAAGTAATGTAACGAATCTGCCAATGGCCGGTGCCGCCACGCCCGTCTTCGCCCCAGTACTGCAGACGACTCGGCATCAGTACGAAGGCCCTCGAATAAAGACGCAACATACCTCCTCAAGGATTGCATGGTCCGGGACGACTATGATCGCAGCTTCTTCATCAAATCGATTCCGACTCAGGGCGGTTACTCTAGCGATCGTGTTGCTCCCCTCCAACGTTGCCGGTCTCACTCCCCTCAAGGCTGGGTGTAAATCAACGAAATCTACGTGCAGATCCGTGTGCCCATTTTCGTCGTCTTCACCGATCTCGTGGTATGCCAGGATCGCGTGAGTGCCTTGGACACCGGTACCTACTATGGTACTAGTCCGGAGTTCTATCCTTTCACATTGTAGTATCCAGTCATTAATGCTAGTGGGCCGTGCTGGTTGCGACTGTGTAGCCTGCATCCATGATAAGATCTTCCGCCTTGGAACGAAGACCAGACGATTGTCTCCCGGAAGTTGCGCCATTGTTCCTTCAAGTGGAATGGATATACAGATGGCGTCGTTCCGGATTGATGACAAAAACGGGAACTGCGTGGTGCTCAGGCATCCGCACCTGTATGAAGGATACAGGAAGGGCTTTATGCCAAAAGGGTCGTTGCTCTGTGGGAGAGGCAACGTGCACAAGGCATCGTATGGAGACTGCGAGGATTGGCCCTCCGATCCTGAGGTCTCAGCGTGCAGAGAATATACCGACAAGTTGTGGTCATCCATTACGAGGATATGTTGAGTATCGAGAACTTCGAAGCCACAGAAAACGCCTTCACAGGGCGGCAGACGCTGCATTACGTAGGCGAAGATCAGCCAAATACGACACGCACAGACTTGGTTGCTGACCCATACGACCTCCCCAGTCTTCCAATTCCAAACCTCGACCTCGACGACATCGGTCCGAGTATGGCATATAAGCAAGCTTCCCTCGATCACAATCTGGCCGCCGAACGCTGTCATTATGGGTGGCAGAGATTGGGCGGCGTCAGGGTGTGGAACGCCACTATCAAGGGCAAGGAAATGCAGTGAACTATTTCACCATCAGCACAGGAACCTAAAGCAGAGGTGCATAGGAGTTACCCTGGGCGACTGCCAAACTCCCCCTGGACGGGTAACAACAATGCCAGTAGCACTAGAAGGTTTTGTGCAGGATCGATACATAAGGATGCAACATTGAGACCATTCAAATCCGGGACAGTGAACGTCCACTCGCACTCCTCCGTTTCTAAAATCCGAGAGGGGAGTTGAAGGACCTTGAGCTGAAGACCATCTGATTGTACGAACAGCCCGTGAGAGACCGTGTAGATTGTGTCCCTCGAGATAGATCTCCCCGAGACAAGCCTTGGGTTGCGCCGCATGTCACGGAGTGATCGTAGCTTCCCCAATTTCTCCGCGTATGAGAGAGGGCTAAGTGGATTGTCGGTCATGCCCGCAAGCCCCAGTTCGATCTTGTAGTTCAATCGAATGGAGGACTTCATCAACTGCAGAAACAACCGAGAAACCTAACAATCGCGGAGAGCTGAGACGCTTATCACTGCAACCGACATATTGGACTCACTTGTTTCCACTGAATGAGGTCTTCCGTGTCTAGGAGTAGTAAGATTTCTTCCTGTATCTCGAGAGGAAGCCCGACGATGTTCAACGCATCCATGTTATTCGCAGTAGTGGTGGGTGTGGACTGAAAGTAGTCTGCGTCAAGGGGTCTAAAGCGCACGTCTTCCTTGAATTCTTACCGACTCCGTACTTAGCTCGGACCTCAAATCTTGAGAGGGAGGAAGACAATTCATGATGTGGTGAATAACGGCAGTTTCTAAAGTTTCGAGGATCTGTAGCGGCGGGGAGGCGATGGGAGCTTATAAGTAACTATGTGCGTTATGGAGACTGGCGTCGGGCATTACAGCTCCGACGAATATGAGGTGGCTGAGGCTTCTGTAATGCTACCAGCACTGTGCACAGCAAGCTATGTCTTTATCCACGAGTCAATCAGTGAGCATTCCGATGTGTCCTCGTGTCTTTCCTGTGAACCGGTGAACAACCTCTTCTACCCGTACGTGCGCGCTAGGGGTCCCTCTCCATGATGGGTGAAAGAGGCTAATTCAACTCAGATAAACAAGGCTAACGGGTTGGTTGCTGCGTTTCCTGTTTATCAGTCGAGCGGACTCTCCCACGATGTAAGCACGAATCTCTCAAAATGTAAAGGAGACGTGCGACGGTAACGCAGGAGCGCGAAAAGTGTCAGCATCAGCGAAAGGTCAGCCACCGCAACCATCATGCCGCGCCACCGGCAACTCATGCCGTTCGTATCACGGAGTACGGCAATCCTAGAGATGCAGACCGGTGGCGGAACCCATGCTCGCAGATTGGCACAATTCTGGCACGATACGCAAATGAGCGGGGACCGCACAAGAACTAACTACGTGAAATGGACAGATGTCATCTGAAGTGAAGTAAAGACAGGTCAGCCTCGACATATAGCAAACGCAATTTACCCAACACAAAAACACCGATCTAATCTGATGATCTTCCAAATTGAGCATGTGGACCATATAATGATCCTATATTCCTTAAGAACAGTTCCCTGTTGGCTTAGTGGTAACGCCGCTCCTTCTGTTCAGCAAATGGAGGTTAGAATACCCTTGAATCCTTTTTATTTTCAATACTCCTCAACTTCAAAGTCGTTTTTCACACATTTAATATTGAGTTGTGGTTAGGTCACAGTTAGGTTACAGTTAGGTTCAGTTAGGATTAGGTTAGGATTGGTTAGGATTGGTTAGGTTCGGTTAAGTCAGGTTAAGTTAGGTTGGCATTAGGTTAGGTTAGGTTTCAGTGTATATGTAAAAGAAAAGATGGCGTTGAAGTCACGTGTGGGCGCCTGGTGTTTTTGTCTTGGGTAAATTGCGTTTGCTTCGACATATATATATAGCGCGCAGGCAGCAATTTAGACTTGAATAGCGTTCAGACTATGATTCTAGCAAGTGAGTCTCGATTCTGCATAATGCTAACCATGGCTTAATAAGCATCTGAAATAACTAGAGGATCATCTCCACACTGGTATGAACTGAAGGCTGGGTAGTACAGATGCACGACATCTGATACCCCACATATCTGCCTCGAACCCTCGTGTAACCTCCCTTGTAGTTCAGGACTCGTACGCACAGCACCTCAGCGTAGATCTTCTCAATTGGTGGCAATGAACTATCAAAGCTTCTATACATGTCGCGGATTGTAAAACGCACATACGCTTCCGCAGTCGTCGTCTGTCCGTAGTGCGTGTAAGCTGGACTATATCGCCATTGCTGTCTCGATGGCTTGTCATGAACGATCCGGAAATCGAAGTCACTAGACGAACCCTGACCATGAGTAAAGTTGTATAATGTCTGCAATTATAAGCAAACCATAGGACAAGAAAGTAAAATAGAGTATTTGAGCTTTGAGTACGCTCCCGGCAGAGAGCTCTATTCCCAATATGGTATGTTTAACTCCTGCGATCTCCAGCTCCGTCGCCTGATATTGTTGGTTATGCCGTCTGACAGCATCTCATAATCAGAAAGCTGAGCCAAGGTCGCCAGGAGGTCGGGATGGAAGGCCGCAGTGTAGATCGTACCCGCCATCTTTTGTAGACCGAGACGTTGACTGAGGAGATTCGTCGAAGGAGTCAGTCGACAAGTTGATAGGCATATGACCCGAATTAAGGAAGAGGGAACTAAGTGGAAGCAACCGCGTTGTCAATGACTCCCATTACGAGGAACGAGGAAGAGGCTTACGGTGTGATCTCCACATTCGTCGTGAACTGCCCGTTGCCTTTGGCTGCAGTACTCATGTCGGTCAACTCTTGACGTTCGCCCTGTCTCTCGCTCAGATCACTGGCAAGCGAGGCGTCGGCATCAACTACCCTTTACTTACAACGACTAAGACCACGAGGTACGTACCTAGAGTCATCTTCTTTTAGGTTCATGAGGGAGATAAAGGCTGCAGACGATATTATGACACTGTGATGTGTTAGGCTCGAAATACATCAATGAGTCAGACAAACCGACCTGATCATCGTGGCTGAATAGGTAGAAAGTCAAGATCGATCAGAAGAAGCTGGGATGTCACATACCCGGGATTGAAAAGAATATATCCATGATGGCTACCCCAATTGTTTAGTACAACGCGTGACGGCGAACACCTCAAATACGCGGTGCACGCACGATTAAGAGCAGCAAGTGTAAAAACCTCTCAGAGGGTGAGATGAATTGAGCTGTGACTGAGACTGATAGACGTACTAGAGAGGGAACGTTGACGACGACAGCCGTGACCACATATAAAATGCCCTGCCTGTGTACGACGGCCCACAAACGTCTGTTACCCAAACGGGATTTTGGCCCTAAGCCAAAGAGCGTTGAACATAGGATGACGATGTCGAAAAAAACAGCTGTGGTCAATGGCTTAGCGCTCGAAATGTGAACAGCGGCGGCGATACGACATACTATAGGCCACGAATATGGCAAGTTCACGATGATTATCAGAAGTCACTGCACCGCACAACGTGTGATTATCTTCAGTAGGCTTGACATTCATAAGACCGACTAAACAGACATCTCAGTTTTCATCGTAGCACATGAGCTTGAGTCTCCACTCACCGATGAAACTAATGATGATGTGGGCAATGCAGAGCACCATGAGAGTCAATTGAACCCAGCGTTTGTGCGTCCACAATGCCCATCTTGAGTTCTTGCAGGATCAGCACCGTGAGATAAGTAGATTGAATATAACGCACGACCGCATCAACAAGTTGGCACTGGCGCAAGCACCCGCTATATTGCCTATTGTCTGTGCATGCGTTCCGTCACGGTCAGATAACACACCTGCCATTGTCAGTCACCTACCGAAAGGCACTTCATTCCGACTGCCAGTAGAATTAGTTGCGAGCCACGAGCATGCGGGAAGATATGCTCACTGACCCCCACAGTCAACAAAGGGCTCTGGGACTTGCGTGATGATGACTCTACCAGAATCTGGGTCATAAAATAAGCATGCATGACAGGCTGGAATAGCTCACAAAGCTATTAGTACGGACAACAGACAGTAGCGGCCTAACAGATAAGGTACCTGCCAGCAGAAATCAATCATAATGTCCTAAATGCGTGAATTTCCACTTACGTATATGGGCTTGAAATTCAATCTGCGCGTAAGTAGTGGCCATTCGACGTAGTGAAAGGTTATAAGAAGCTGCCAGCTGAATAGGACAAGTTAAGGACACAATGTTAATCCAATCCAATGCGCTGTAATTACGCACCCGTAGAGGCCGAGCGTAAACACCAGCATTTGGCTGAAAGTAAAGGAGATAAGTAGTACGACATCGGGATCTTGCCAGTGGACCATAGCGCAGATATGCGTCTATGTCTTATGCGGAACACTCGCTGGGACGAGAAGTTAGTTGGTCTCAGAGACACGTCGCAGTGCTTTTCGTCTTGATGCGAGCGTGGGCAGAGTTAATGAACGTCACTGTAGCCTATGGCCTCAAGGAAAAGGGTGAAGCCAAGAAATGTCTTCAATATTCAGAGTGACATCGCAATATAACGAGAAGATTGACCTGCGTTCGGCTGAGGGACGCGTCGCACCATCACGAAATCAGAAGACGCTAGTCTCGAGCCGAGCCCCTTTCCTGAGCGGGGTTAATCTTCAGAATTTGTGAGTGTCTGATCAATGGCCTCGCCTCAATTCTTCTTGGGGAGATACAATGTGGATTCCGTTTCCACACCCTTATTCTCTCAGCATGTTCGCTGGCTTGAAAGTGCCGTTCGTCGTACATCGCGGTGGTAGCAGTCTAATTTAGGGACTGATTGCCGTAACATTGACAATAGCATCTAACATTGAAATATTGACGGGCGGCAGCGCCCCGCCCGTGACGCTCTGCCGTGAGTGACTCTTGGTCCCGTGATGTGTGACTCGCGCGTTCACGTCCTCGCGTCCCACCGCGTGGCACGCCACAGGCCTGTGTCTTTGTTCTTGACCTTGCTACAATGAAAACCAAAACAAGGCTGAAATTTCCCAGAGTATCAGGTAAATTATTGATACATATTGCATTGCCAACTAGTTCATAATCAGTTTACAGGCTATGAGCTCTATGAACAGATAGGGGGAGGCGGGTTTTCAACGTGAGTGTCGCTCTAAACAACTGAATGAGGTCCTCGGCGAGGAAGCAAAGTTTCTGGTTTGTCCTTTTCCGAGTCTGGATTCGCAGACATTGCTCACTCGCCGTTGCGGACTCCTGTGCTCTTGATAATTAAGGCGCAACGGCGAGGTGACTCGGCAAGGAAACTCTCAGTCTAATTCTTCACGCACCATCTTCTCAGTATTTGGTGCACTGCTTCTCACTCATGAGCTGACTGATGATGGAGGAACAATTAGCACAGTAGCAGCAACTCTTCTAGACTGTTACTATCTCCCGCTGCGAAAGAGTATCACTCTTGCAGTTGTCTAGTCGGTTTCACTGTGGTGGCCCTGCCACTTGCGCAGATCGTGAGTGTATGTCGTGATGTGGCTGTGGAGCCCCCTTTTCTCAAAGTGTACCAACGCGGATTTAGTGTGCCGCCGAGCGGCCTTCCTTGGGGGCCATTAGCGTCGCGGGAGACATTGTGATGAGCCCGACCATCGCGGATAGAAAATTATGTTCTTGATATGCGAAGACAGTCTCAATTGCCGTAGTTATGTTCCATTTCCTCCTGCGATACGGATGACGCTGTGCATCTTTGAGCCAGATTCGCTGTTGTAGGACTTAATGCGTTGTACAAGGCCCTTCTTGCTTGTTTCCAAGCCGTCAACCTCAAATCATACTAGTCTTTTTGACTGAATCATGTCCCAGGGTCTGGCGTGCGGTCCATTTCGAGGACAAGCGCGTCGCAGCATGCAAGGTTGTCTTGCTAACGCCGGAGACGACCCAACAAGAGCGAAAAGCACTGGACAAAGAGATGCGCGTACACACGAATCTCAAGCATTCGAACATACTCGCGTTCATCAGCGCGGTCAAGGTTGAGCCTGATGTGGCCTCAATCTACACCCCTGGACTGTACATGCTCTTAGAGATTGCGGCAGGAGGCGATTTATTTGACAAAATCGGCTAGTACCTCCACAAAGCGTGTAGTTCGAGCCGTCGCTGATTTGATATATATTTAGCCCCTAACATCGGTATCGGAGAAGAAATGGCGCATTATTATTTCCTGCAGATGATGTCTGGCCTCGTGCGTATGATCTACCGTCTCACATGATATTAACGTAATCTTGTTGTCACAGATTTACATGCACGGAGAGGGTGTCTGCCATCGGGATCTGAAACCCGAAAACCTGCTGCTCGATGGGGCAGGGGTTCTCAAAATCTCCGACTTCGGGTTATGCTCTGTATACATGCTCAAAGAGTCGGGAAAGACCCGCTTGCTCACCGATCGCGTCGGGAGTCTGCCGTACATGGCCCCTGAGGTGAGTGCAGATAGCAGCCTCACGCGATTAGGCATTTAAGCATTCAAGAACCTGTAGCTCGCCATCGATGGTCCATATTCTGCCGAGCCCATCGACGTTTGGGGTGCCGGTGTCATCCTGTATGCCATGCTCGCCGGAAGTAAGTTGATTTGTTCGTGCCACTGTATTTCCTAATGCTAATTGGGTATAGATACTCCATGGGACGAGCCGACCAAGCGCAGCTACGAATATGCGCAATACATCACCGGGCGCTGCTTCAATGAGGCGCCTTGGAATACGTTCGGTAATGATGTCTTGTGTAAGTCGCCATATCTTTCTCTGTACAATCAAGAAAACTCAGATTTGCGGGATGTATCGTATTAGCCCTTCTCACCGGCATGCTCGCCCTCGCGCCATCGCGCCGGATGTCACTGGGCGATGTGTGTGCGCATCCGTGGATGATACGGTCCGTTATAGATCTAGTGCGCGAAGATTGTCCGTTCATTCTTACGTGTTGCATCCAGGCCAAGTCAGATTGCACGACACGGCCTGTCTTTTCTGGCAGACTCTCTTATGCAATCCTTGCGCGCCACTGGCGATCTCGCAATTGCCAATCCAGACATTTCAGCGTATGTCGTTACGCCTATCACTCCTTCAAGTAGTCTAACCCCGCTTACTCGCCGCAGCAATGTCGACCCCGACGGAGACCAGATTATGGCTACTGCGCAGCGTACGCAATTCACGCAGTCGCTACTGCTCTTTGTAGGAATCTTCGTTGCCGTTTGACTGTAGACTGACGTTGGGCCCCAGTCACAAACGCAAAACGGAACTCGGTACATGCCGCAGCTCACGCGCTTCTACACGCAAGTTGGGCCATACGATTTGCTACCGCTCATCCAAGAGGCCCTCACGGACCTTGGCGTGAAGTGGAAAGAGGCTGTTGAAGTCGAGCTTGGGACAACAAGAGATGGTGTTGAGGACATAATGTTGCGTATGCGGATCGGTGGGCACGACCCGCGCCGGCTACTTTTCAAGGGCTGGGTGGAGCTCGAGGATTTTAGCTACGCTGGAAAAGAGGGAGGTTTCTGTGTCATGCTTCGAGACCAGGTGCGTCATTTTCTTGATAAATCTACGGGTGTGAAGACTTACCACGATCGTTCCGCGTTTGCATCAGGGAAATCCTCTCTCTTGGCGAGCGCTCTGGAAGTCCGTCATCGAGCATCCTATTGTTCGCCCCCACGTCTTTTTCAAGGGATCGTGAGCGCATTGCATTTCATCGTTTGGTGATCCACGCAAGGCCCTCATTCTTATCACGGATTCATGTATTATAACCCAACAGGAACACTAGTGTATTCGATAGATACTGTACATCGTTATTGCAACACGGATACTTATATGAGTCGTTAGAATTGCTTGCCATAACAATGCGGTCTGTACATAGTTGGAGCGTCGTCATAGCGAAATCAAAGCGATAGGAAGACAACACAAAGACGTGATGAACACAGCGTTACATGATAAATTTGCGGGTTGTATCCTAGTATAAAGTGAGCGTCTACACTGGCCGTACGGAAATATCGCTCACGATATGATGAGACGAGGATAGTTGTGGCTTCTGACTGTAATTCTTCTTGAGGATGGCCCTAATGGACGCAATGTTAAGTATTACTAGCAGAATATGGGACGGCGATATGAATAGACCTGATAGACACTAGAAGCTGTTGATATGTCTGGTTGGGCTTGTCCGCTACGAAACATCAGTCCTTATCTTAGACAAATGAATGAAGTGACAAACTTAAGGACTTCATAATGGCCTGAAATTGTCGCTTCAATATGAAGTGTCTAAGAATGGGGAGCTGACATACATAGCTCATGGCACCGACCGCGGCGCCTGCTTCCCACGTATCGGCACTAGTCTGAGAATCCAAGCAGCCACTCCAGGAGACCTGCCCTCGCTCAGCATGGAAGTGTATTCTTAGATAGGCCACTCACGACGTCCGCCTCGGTGTACTTCTCCTTCACATGGCTCGGAGTGACTTCGCTGTGTCCCTTCTGTCGACCATTCGTATGGTACTGGAGAAGAGTTTCGTTACCAATTATAAAACAGCAATATCAGCAAGCTTACAACATAAGGTAGATCTGGACTAGAAAGTCAACACGCGACTCGAGAAAGAGCGCAGGAATTAGGACATACCAAGTGCAGATCCAGAGTGACATGACTAGAGAAGCGGTATCAATAACTCGAACTAGTCAACGAATTAAGTATCTCACGTCGAAGATAGCCTGACACCCGTTAAAATTAGGTTGAAGTATGTGTGAAAATGTTGGCGCACCTACCGTGAGACGACAGCCCCGTGGTAGCGGCTTCACCTATGCTTAGATTGAATAACGTTCAATCATCGAGATGAACTGATATGTACCATGATCTTATGCATTTCCTTGATCAAACGACGTCATTACAACACAATGAACGTGTGTTCGAGTTTCAAATACACACGTCGTCCACGATATGACCCGTCCATTTGTAGTCAACCGGGAAGATAACTAACAACACAGATGGTTAGGAAATAGAAAGACTGACGCGATATCTCACATACCCTCGTCTAGGCCGTCAACCTCATCGCCGTCGAGATCTTTCGTCTGCCCACCATGTCCCGAGTCTGCGCAGATGATAATGAGCACATTATTGCTACATGTAGTTAGCCTTGAAGCGTACAGTGGAGAAAAAGGGAGTCATGCGGCTGAGCATCGCGTACAAGCCAGCGCATTGCGTCAATTATATTTGCTCGCGTGGGCTGATGGTGGAGGTTGGGTGTATCATCCGTGAGCAGAAAGATATTCTCCTCTCGGTAGTTATAGTGTTCTGTGGCAGAGATAAGTGATCAAGGAGAGCACACGCTGACAAAGGCAAAACTTACTGATAAGGAAGCGCTGCACATTCCTAGCGTCATTTACACAGCCATGAAGTTCGTTGTGTTGGCCTTTGTAATTGATCCCAATCTAGAGACCGTCCGGATAAATGAATATTCAGCCCGCGAGCAAGCTCCCTCACACAAAGCGCCTTCTTTCTTCCTGTGCATTTGGAGAATTTCGGCTTGGACTTGGGTTGCCGGGACTGAGCGCCATTCGACTGCAATTTCTGAGTAGGCTGCGTCTTGGCTTCTGTCATCGCACGATAGTTTGTACGAATTCAAGGGTGACTGCTTCTCTGAACAACGTACGATACGATTTCTCGTTGCCATTACTATGAGACTGTTTCACGCGATGCACATGAACATGATGATTACTGTAGTGATGGTGCGTGTGCATGGTGGTGACAACTGTTCTCTGCGTGGTCGACACAAGAGCTCGAGTCCTAAACTTTACATCAATGTCAATGCATCGATTGCTATTTGGGACATACCCTTGTTCGTGTCCACTGAAAGGGTATGAATATATGAAGCAAAATCATAGTAGCGGATGCAATAAACACTTACTATGGACTATAAGCGCCGTAAGATGCTCCGATTGGCAGTGGCGGTGATGGATAGCCAAACGCAGCTTGTCTGGATATCGAGAATGATAAACATGTATGATTACGGAGTGGAGATCGCTCACGAGGCAAAGGCACTAGAAAACAGACACAATCAATACAATTTAAACAATGTATACTTGGTGCGAATGAACGTACAAGGGCGCCTGAAAATAGCCCGGCGCTTGGGAGAATGGACTCGAAGGGGATGTGACCCAACTCGGCGGAGAGTCGCCGCCTCTAAAGACATTCCACATTACGACTCTGGCTGTGTGCGGCGACAACACCGTCCGCAGGATATGGGGGTGAAATGTGCAGGTACGCCAGCAGACTTGGACCCCCAAGCTGAAACAACAAATACTTAATAACGCGTCCGAGACGGGCGCTCTGAGACCGTGGGTGACTCAAACTCCTGTCGGAACAGCAGCGCGAGACTAAGAGCGCCCCTTGGGCTCCGGGTCGGAGAGCTGTTCTGGCTAAGGAAACGGTTCCGGTGCATCAGTAGTTGGATGCAGCAGTGCTACAACCTGCATTGATCTAAAAGGGGTAATAGAGGCGATGTGCCGGACCGTTCCTGCAGATTGAACCGCCGCATGAAATGCAGTCGATGGGCTTGGCATACTCGTGTTTCGTATTGCTGCCTCGTTCTCTTCGCCATATGCTAACATTGGCTTCGCGGAGAAGTCGGATGAATGTGTTGGAACTTGGAATTGTGGCGAGCGCACGCCATCGTATTTGGTGTTGTTTGTAGTACCTCGCAGACTTTGCGCGAGCCATCCTGTATGTTCCTTACGCGTTTGACAGAGCTCAGACAAACGCGATATATCTTCGTTGATCGTTCTCGCTTCGGGTCTCGGACGAACTTTAACAGAATGTCATTAACACGCGGCCACAAAAGTCCAAAGTATCCCGGATATCAAAATTGTAGGCCGCGGCATACAACTGGCTTAGCACAGGTAACCACACTTGTCCCAAAAGACCTCGCAGCAGCGGCACCGAGGCTAAGCATGAAGTGTCAGCCTTGGGCTTACTCGACTATTCCCATGTCTTGACTAATCGCACAGGGCAGCTAACAGTGGGTTGCTTCTGCTGAACATACGTTTATCTTTTTCGCATCGAACTTGAGGGCGGCATATGCACTGTGAACTCAATCTATACAGAATTTGAGCAATGACGCTGTATCTAGTTGATATCGCATACAAGACACAGATAGTGATCACATACCTTTATGACTTTCTCATCACCTACCTTGGTGAATCTGGTGTGAAGCCCTTTGGTGTACCGTATACGTACACTCTGGGCCTTTGTATGGTAGCCTCGAACTCTCGGTCTGATAGGATGGCATCCACGCAAGAGGTCTCGTGGACGACCTCCCGTAAAGTTCAACTCGGGTCACGTGTTATCCTCGGACTCTGATCTACTGCGGAAGATGTGTACTTGGTCATGTTGGCAGCTGCGCCCGCCCATTCCAAATAACCACTTAGCAACACTTAAAACATGTCTCAGTGTATATTAATGTCATACACGCGTGCACAGTAAAGTAATAATTTATTGTATGACAGACCACAATTCCTTTTACAATGAAGGCAGCACACTGTTCCCTGTCTGCGTGTGGTAGTAACGCAACCGATTCCAGGATCTGAATACGGGTATCCACATCGACGAGGATGGTGTCCGCATCCAGTGTATAAGGGGAAAACGGACGAGAATGCCAGAGATCGGTGTTGTGACTGGACAACAGAGGCTGCTGGCGGTGACGGCGGCGGAGGCGTGCTGGCGGAAGTCTGCGACGGATGCGGAGGCGTGCGCTGCTGCTGCCGCCGCGCGCGCTGCGCAGACGCAAACATGCCCGCGAGGTCCATATCGCTGAAGCTTCGCTCGCCGGGCGAGAGGCCGCGCTCCACGCCACGCATCGCCGCCGCGTCCTCGTAGTTCGGTAGTCCGCGCAGGCTCGATAGCGGGGTAATGCCCCCAACGAGTAAGCCGCGGCTCGCGATGCTGTAGTCCGGCACCTCCGTGCACGCGTAGTACAGCTACTCCGGACTCGCCATCCGCTGCGGCGTACCGAGGCTCGTGAGGTTCACAGACGACGCGCCCCGGAGGAGCCCTTTGAGTGCGGGGGATGGAGTGTGGGGGAGACACCTTGCACGACCCAAGGATGGACGACGCGTAGGGTGGCGGCCTCAGGGCGGTACGCGTTGGCGACGCGATCGCATACATGCGCGGGGTACAAGGGTAGGTCATTGTCCTCCTCAGGCTCCTCACCGTGTGTGCCTACAGCTTGGCTTCCGTCAATGTTCTGCGGGCCGAGGCCGCCGTGTGTGCAACGTCGCCGCCCGTGCTTCATCATAAAGCCTTTTATCAAGGACGTGCAGAGAGAGGGAGGAACGAAGCTCGGACGTGTGCCCGTCCTCATTGCTGATGAGAATAGACCAGCGGACCAGCGGCTGCGGTGTGATACTTGAATAGGCTGTGAAGACCATTAATATAGACGCATTACGCTGGAACAAAAGGTGCATATACCGACCTCTAGTGAGTGACTTGGCATCGCATGTATAGGCACGTTAATATTGAGCATAGTGACGATGTCTACAGACGCCTCGATCATTTCAGCCTTTGTTGGATCTAACGGAGGTGGTGGTAGCGGAGACGGGTTGACAGGCAAGCTCTCGCTGCTCGTCAATGGTCGTAATTGAGGCACAACATGAGAGCCTGTCGTGGAGGGGCGCGCGCCAACGGACGATTGGGAGGAATTTGTCGTAGTGGTCGTGAGGGGCACCAATTCGGACGCTTGGTGGACAGGCGACGGGGGATGTGATGTGACGGCGGGGAAGGACCCGGTCGATCCGTTCACAGGACTGTGATGCGCGTGTCCGTTCGCGGTCGCGGGACTCGCGGGCGTCGATGTGTTGTGCCGTGGCAGATGCGTTGTGTGTGTTGTGTTTGTTGTGTGCCAGTGGTGCAGGAGAGGTATGTGATACTGGTGGTGCTCCTCGTCGACGTGGACAATCGTACTTGAGATCACGAGTGTGCTTACCTGTGTCCTGTGTACCGTCAGACGCGTAGAGCTTGATCGTCTCGTTTACGCTCGTCGTAACATTGAGCACGCGCGGGCCCTTCCCCAGAGGAGAAACTTCAATACCGTAGTAACCTTCTCGCCGGCGGCGCCCGCCTTGTGTGAGATCATGATGCTATACATGAGCATTTCGGGCCATGTATTCTCAATCTCGAGGGTCTGTTGGTACTCGAGAGCCTCGGGTGCGGATACAATGGGTCTGGGTACGAGACAAGGCTTCGGCATCAAATGGTATGAACGACGTCGCCCAAGCCAGAGATCATGGCAAGACTCAAATGCGGAGACAGAGGCACTGAGTTCGGATGCCGTCCGAGTCGCCAGCTAAGTCAGAAGTCGGGGTGGAATTAGCGTATGCTTCTTCCTCTGAGATTGTAGACACAGATGAGTCATTGTCGAGGATTGAGGATGCCGAGAGTTCGCCAACAGCTAGATGGCGACAGAATTCGGCCTGTCGGCGCTCTCTTTGAGGAGCAACTCGTGGAGCCTGTTAAAAAACAGAGACTGCGGCGCAGACACAATAACTACTCCTCGCAGGGTGTTTGAGTGGATTCAAATTGACCGAAGAGATCAGAGTTGTCCTCGAAATTCAGCGACCCGTGGGGTGACCTGCAGCTCTACCGTGTCACAACAGCCGCCGCAAGTGGCGCACGCAGCCACAGTGATGCCGACATGTCGCGAGAGGAGCCACCGAACAAGAGCGAGATCATCACAGCAAGAGATGCGACACCGAAGGACGCAAAAACATTGCACAAAGGAACTTAAGATCGACGTCAAGTCATATTTCACAATTCAGCCATCACAGGCCAAAAGCAGTCCCGTGGTGAACATGATATACAGGGCGTCGATTCGCACAAGCGAATACCAGCCACTAAATCAGCCACAAGCGCCACAGGCTCAGCCACCGGGGCCACCGCGGCATCTCGGACAGCCACAATCTCAGCCACAAAACACGGGCGGCAACTGATGCACTGTCAAAAATCTGACTAAGCTCAAAAGCCCTCACAGGTAACCAAATAACAGGTTATTTGGAACCGTCTGCAGCACGTATATTATATGCATAGGTGGACGGGTTCGACACCAGAGCAACAGCAATGGTGTGAGTGAATTCCAAGTCGTATATCAATTGCGCATACACTGATCGTATAAGTACATGTTTTGTCGGATGACATACTGGGCATTATAATCTCGCCGAGCCTTCAGAGCTTCTCTTCGGGCTTACAGAAAAGTTCAAGCGCGGGAAATGGCATCGTATTGTGATGTTCGCATTCCCAGTCTCAATCACAACTTCCTCTCGGCTCAGTGCAAGAAGCTTCCCACTAGTCGGTACTTGACCTGAGAGTCCAAATTTCAGCTGCAAGTCACGACTTGAAGGGCGACAACGCAGCATACCATAGTCTCGTGGCATGACGGCCACTGATGCTCCTTTGGCGACGTTTAACCGGTTCGCCTCAACGCTGTCGAAGCCGATGATGTCTATATCCTCCGGTTGCGACGACTTGATGATTTCGGCGGCTTCCTGTCCAGTAATGGATCTAAACGGCGCGGCATTTTCCTTCTGGAGGCTTTCAAGAAGATCCTTCATACGAGAAATCCACTAAGTCACTAGTGAGTCCATGTGCCTCCTTCCGTGCGACTGTCAATGGAGCCCTCACCTCCAAGCTTTTTGGAAACGTATCAGGATCCCATAGGTCGTCTAGGGAGCGCATGGAATCTCTCATCCAGTAGAACACAAAGTACGCTGCATTATCAGCGAGACTAGGGCCTTCGGTATCAAGCAACCAATCACGGCCATCAATTAGTTGTTCCTCTAGGAGATGCTACAAAACCGCCTCGGCATTAGTCCGACGTTCATATCTCGTAGCAGGCGATCACATACCAGACAAGACGAGAGAGTACTCTTCACCTCTTCCCGCCGTGCTGCAATAGCGGGAACGTCAATATAGTGCCCGCGGAACTGTGACTGGGTTAGTTACTGATCTCCAATGATACTTCATACGACTCACGGAACTTCTGTCCACGATGAAGTCAGGGGTGAGCTGCTCGTATGGTATATGGTCCGTTGCTTCATGAAAGAGGGTGTTGTCAATGAAAAACACGGATAGCGCCTTCATTATGCCCTTATCCACTTTGTTCATCCCCGTTCGCGGGGGAAACAAGGTTCCGTATCCTTCAGTGGCGGGGAAACGGCGCTCGAGAGCCACTGCGATCATGTTGCTGTCGCAGTACATATCGTTCCCTATCGCAAGGACAGGGATTCGGCGGTAAGGGATTCCCAGCATCTCTGAGAGCTCGGGTCAGGGAAGAATCCACGACACCTCAAAATTGTTTTAACCAAACGGCTGCCATGATCAGCACGACATGTTACCTCGACTCCGTTGTGTGGAATCCTCTTCAGTGTCAAGACATCCTTGATTTTGGCGGCATAAGGAGATAAGTCATAACTGCAAAGAATTCAGCGATTCAGTGAAAAATGCTGAGTCGCGAACATACTGGTACAAAACGACCGGTGGTGACATTTTCGCGTAGTGGCTTAATACCGAGCTTAGAATGGGTGGTCGCTCCCCTTGCAAGACCGTTCGATTAGTGCAGCGTGCGATTTTATATCCGGTATGCGTTCGCTTGCCCACATCAACATGTTAAGTTCAGGAGCAATCAAATAAGTAGACGTACTTATCTCATTATCTAGCTCGAGTTCCCATACTGATACACGCCTCTTCCCGCCGGGGCCGATGTCGAGGAGGCTTCATCTGGTGGTGATACTCACATATCCCAATGTATTTTAGCACAGATCCCATAATCTTAACCCTCTCCACCCCTATGATGACTGACACAAAACTTTCGAAAAACATGCCGTCGAGGTGGACCTCTATGTGACATGAGATCACGGCCGAAAATGTCAAATTCAATCTTTGTGATATGACATTTGTTTGGTCAAAATGGGAATGCAGCCGCATTGCCCTAAATACAGAATTAGAGTACTAAACGCCAAACCTTGGGTTACCTGCGATGCCTTTCAACAGGCCCCTGCTGCCGACCATTGACGCTATTTTAAAGAAGACGTCTGCAAAGCTGGGCCTAAGATTGCGCGTGAGATCCAAAGGGATGCCATGACTCATCTGTCGCACGGCCGTGGGGGGAGAAGTGTGCTTTTTGGATGCTACTGTTGTTCCGAGACTGCAAAGATATTGAGAAGAGTTGGCGGAAGCTTGATGTTGATCGAGGCGCGGAGGTAGTAGGCCTGGCACGCGGTAGTGCTCGAATCATATCTGTTAGTCCGTTCTGGGAGTACTAGTATATGTACACATTAGATGGCCATAAAGTAGTGCGCTTCCTCTAGCTCTCTCGGAGTCTCGCAAATCGGAGAGTCAAACCCGTCCGAGAGTACATCCGACGGCGGGCGGCGATGAATTGGTAGAAGCGGTATGGGTGTCGGGGCATCCAGCGCGTCGAAGAGGTCCCGGGCTTCTTCGTCTGGCTCATATGCAGAATCTGGATGTTCTTCTTCCCCGTGTGCTGCCTTGGGGATAACCATGCTGTCAATTACGAAAGCTCGCCTGTTTCGGTGCTGTGTGCGGCCTCGTGCCCTGTATTGGTGACGCCGAGCGGCCTTTTGAATGTGCAGCTGACACCCATAGTGAGATTATGACAGTGTGCTTTTTCTGCATCAGGCGACTCACCAGCATGTGGCATCCCAGCATGGAATTCGCGACAATGACTATGCTACAAGAAAGCACGATGTCAGCAGCAAAGTGGATTTCCGGTCACGCTCACTCACGGTATGAAGGCGACAAAGAGAGTTTCTATCTAGTCAACCATCATCAGCGCCACGCAGCCCGAGGAACAGACATGATGAGACGCACCTGCAAAACCCATACCACGAAATTGACCAGGATGGCGCTCAGGACCCCGCCAAAATTGAAACATTTGTCTTTCCGTTCTATTCCTTGTACTACTAGCGCCCATACTGGCGCCTGTCTTAGCGCTCACCCGCAGGTTGAACATTATGTAGCTTACATAATGGGGTCCGTGCGCACTTCGTGCCTGGTATCGTACCACTACGTTTCTTTCTTCACTAACACGACCACATAGACACGATGGTCCGTGCGCAGTCGGTACTTGTATAAGTAGTTGTACCATTAGTCGGTCGAACCCTAAGTTCGACCTGGTTATTCATTCAAGTCTCTGCTCCTCTTCGCTTGGGGTAGTGGTCATTCTCGACTTCCTCGCTCGATCTTCAGGACGACGCACTGTCCATAAGCCCTCGCTCGTCATCTACAAGTCAGGCATCAATATAGGAGTGTAGACCGTTGTATCAAAAGGTCGAACTTTCTAAGCTACGTTCCTAGTTTCACCTAGTCGAACAACTCATCCACCATCACGTCGAACAACGCAGTAAACCCGGTTCCTTGGGACTACCAGCCCTCACAGGATCTCCCC